GGTGTGATGGTACATATCTATAATTCCAACACTTGGATGGCAGGGGCAACTGAATCTCTGTGGGTTCAAGGCCAACCTGGTCTGCAGAGTGAGTTACAGGACAGCCAGGACTATGTAGATACCCTGTCTCAAATTCCAAAACAGAACTAAAGTATAAAATGAATAAACACACATGCCTAGAATTTTCAAATAGCTTCTTTAATTTGACAGTATATAAACTTCACATAAAATGGTATGAGCTTAATTTAAAAAAAAAAAAGCACACCACCTTATTTAGATACCAAAAAGAAATGTTAAATTTTTTTCCCAAAAAAACAATCCACAGGTAGATGGGCCAAACACAAAACTGTGTATTTTAAATTTTCAAATCACACAACACCATTAAGGGACACTATAGATGTTTGGCACGTCTACTGGTCAGCAAATCTAGATTCTGTAATTAGTTCATGTGGGCTGGATAATACTGCTGTGATCGTCACAGACATCGTCACAGAACAGAATGCCTGCAACCAGACACCACTTACCCCAGAGTGTTGCCTGCCAGCCTGCCCAGAGTCTCAGAACCTGAGAGAAACCACGGAGAGTCACTCGTCCTGCCAGGCCTAGAAGTCCTCCCTGCCCCTGAGCTGCTATTCAGTTTTGACCTAGGAAAATTCAAGAGATAAACTGTCATACGTCATACAACAACCCATGCTACTAGGGGAGGCTAGAACCTCCCGTGTACACTGACTTCCTGCTCGACAAGTCGGGCTACTCCTACTAAGATATGCAGCTGCCCGACACTCACATTCCTTCCTAGTAGAAACTGTTCTCAATTTTCAAATAGAAATGAATGAATGAATGGTAAATAGTAAATTTTCTTTACATTTTAAAATTGATCATGAAACAGTCAAGTAGGGGTCGTATCTTATGAAGCACCTTTTAATACACTATAATTTTTAAAGACCAAAATTTGAAGAGGGAGAAAAAACTTGACTGCTTTCAAACTGAGTTGACATGAGCTGCCCAGCCATTTCAGTGGCCCGGGCAAGCAGCACAGCCCTGTATTCCCCACTCCGCTCCGTGGGAAGGCAGAGCAACGGAGCATCTCTAGCACACGGCTCCTGGAGCAGCCTCAAAACCTCCCACCCCAGCAGCTCATTTTCATCATTTGAGGAAAACCAAGATCAAAACACTGGTTTTCTGAAATGCCTTCTAAGGGCTAAATGCACATTGCATTAAATACAAAATCCAAGATACGGATATAGCTCTGTGGTAAAGCACTTGTCTACTATGTATTATGCTCCAGGTTGATTCTCAAAATCACACCCACACAGAGCTTTTAAAAAAAAAAAAAAAAAGTTGCCTTACCCATCGTTATTATCAGGTTTGCCCAATTCCAGTCTGTCTGGTTGTACTGAAAAACCAATTCTACAAATTCTGCCATCCTAAAAGCAAAGAAAACATGTAAAACTCTGAAAAACATTACAGTTTTAATTTATTCAATAATCAGACTCTGCCTATTACTGTCAACTCAGAGGACAATCCCCTGAGAGGAAGCACAGACCTGGGCTGAGGAACATGACAGAGTACAAAAAGTCGTTAGGAAACCCCTCGGAACAGTTCAACAGCCTGACTGAATTATTCGGAGTAAGCACTGTATTATAGTGACTGCGTAGCAATCTTCCCGTTCTCTTATGAACCAGTCTCCAGGCCAGAGTCTCTGGGCATAAGGAAACTCCTCCAAGCGCCTCCTGTTTTCCTTGAGTAAAGGGAAGAACTGATGCAGGTGGACTCACTCTTTACTTTTCAGTTCTCTACCTTATGGGGAATAATTTACCTCAAGGAG